CCCCAAAACCCCAAAACCCCAAAACCCCAAAACCCCATGCTCATATATCTTAATAGAAGATTCTCCAAAACCTAATAGTTATCATCACTCTCTTCATCAATTTGTTCCTTCAGGCCTATCACTGCTGTTCTGAGGATTCCCCATTTTATAGATGACCGCCTATGATATAAGGTTAATTTCATCCAACTGACAATAAAATTTTGAATTTAAGATGAAAAATAGCTGAATACTAAAGCAACATTCCCTTCCAGAGTAGAAACTTGCTCTAGCTCCTTTTCAAACTCAAAAATTCCGCTTTCCATCAATGTAGATTTCATGCAAAAAGAGCATTAATTTTAGTCAGATTTATACCTCATCTAACCCTAAAAGTTCGCAAAATTGCCTAAAATTGTAGCTAAAAACTGAAAGCCCATCTTCAAATCAAAATAGCAATTCCAAAGTTTGAAACCTTTCCACGTAAACTTTTGATGGCTTCTGATAAATTTAGGAGCGGCTGTTGACAACTTTCAATGGTCAGCTTTCCCACCGTAGTTTAGCTAAAGCAGCTTACTTCTTAAGGATCCTTTGGATCGTACAGATACTCTCTTCCCTAATTTTCCTATAGGTTGAGATACAGGCTTACTCTCCTTCAGGATCTTTCCTCATTTTTGAAAAGAAGGCATTGAATTTGGTAAGCAAGTCTTTGTATGTTCAAACTTCTGCTTCCAAAAAGGAGTTTGCTATAAGGCTGAAGTATAAAGAATACTCATAAGATATTGTCTAGAATTATTTTGGGCTGTATTCTTGACTCTAAAATTTATTTTTAAGTGTTTACAATGCATTTTTGATGTTGTGGAAAATCAGATGTAAGCGACGTAACAATGCTAAATAGTTATTAACTAAGCTTACCAAGCACCTCACTATCAAGCTTGTAAGTGCCTCTTTCTTTTATAGTCCTGTAAGGTTAGAAATGTAGTACGAGAAAAGTTTGTTCACGCTTAGATACACTTCTTCATTTCCAATCATTGTCGCAAGATTACGTAATTCAGGATCTAGAGTGATATGCTCTATAGTGATGCTCGAAGTTATTTACTTGTCAAATTTTGAGGGAGATCATAACTTGCTTCAATATAAATATTCCTGACAAAATAGTTTCTGACATTAGCTGTTTTCATAAAAGAAGCTAAATTGACTCAGTTGTTGCCCAGAACCCATGCGAATCGATACATAGTAGCAGCTTCAGTCTGAGTTAAATCTGGGTCATATTGCTCCATGATACTCAAGAAATGGTTAAAGGACACTCCATTGTTATACTTCACATTCTGGAAGGTATCTCTCATCTATTTTGTAAAGAAATAGTATTACAATCTGTAGCTTTTCATCAAATAACTCATGAAGGATATGCACTCTGATTCTCTTCTCCTTTCTGTAGTATTCAAGCATGATTCTGAGCACTTTAGCTGCATCAATTTGGCTATTATTCTGCCTCTTGTTCTTATTCGATTTGACCACTCAGGAAAGTTTGAATAATCTATCCCTGATTTCGGTGATCTCGTCTGGATTTACTTTGGAAAATATCTGCTTGAAGATAGTCATTGCAGCCTAAAGATTAGAAAAAGTTACCTCCAGTGAGATCAAGTGGACTCGTTCAAATTGGGCCTTCCTATCTGTCAACTGAGGTCCTCCAAATAGATAATTTCTACATAAAAGATAGAAGTGGAGTTCATCTACAGTATGCTTTTCTTCAAGGAAATCTAAGAAAATTGAATATTCCCACATCTTTGGCTCAAGATTTGTCTTGAGGCCTAGCAAGATCTGGAGTCGTATTTCATCTACATGATCTAGCTCATAAAATTCAAGTAGTCTGACTTTCCTAGTGATGTTATCAACACAAAAAGTTCCGAGCCAGGAATAGACAAATTCAGGGAAGGGTGTGATGATTTGTGGATCTCCTATCTTCATAAAATGCTCATACATTTTTGAGTCAAATAAGGCTCTAATAGTAACAAATAGCCACTGAACAAAAGGAGGATTGTAAGTAAGCTCAAGCTTTCCTTCCTTATATTTTCTTAGTAAAGTCTGCTTCTCTACATCAAATGGACTTCTAGTCTTTTCGTCCATTTCTTCGTACAAATTCTTAAAGGCCTCTCCTGAAGAGATATGGTGTTCTATTAATGTGAAATATCTTGGCCTCGCAATGCTAAGCTCTTCAAGATTGATGCCTAAAGTTAAATAGTAACCCTACTGAGAGCATTGAAGACTGAATATTTATTCTTTACCATCTCTTCTATTTCCTTGGCTCTATCGACTGCTATATCGTTGTCTGTATCGACCATAGCTTCATCTGAGATAGAGGGCTGTTTTGATTCTGGTCCATCAGTGACACTTTCAGCTCCCTCATCTCTAGTGATAGTTAGCAATAGCTTACATCATTCTTGGGAACCCATAATTAGACTGTCCTGCAGACCCTCTTTTATTTTTGACATGCTTACCAACATTAGTGCTATTTTTAGGATTAGGATATATTTCCTTCTTGAAACTTTCCACTAATGCTCCATTTACCAGAGCAAGGTTCAGATTTTTAGTCGTCTGGTGAATTTTTACCTTCTGAGCCTTATTTTAAACTACCTTGCCCTCCTAGTTCTAGCATGAACGATTTTGACTGCAAAGAGTGTTCAATATAGGATACATGATCCCCTCCTACTTTGAAGAAGGGATCTGAGAGGGTGGCTTTCATGCTTACTTGGTCATAGTCTAAACTCTTGCTGGATTCCCAAAGCTTCTTCTCTTTATTCAACTCAGATAATTGTGCTTTAAGCATGTTCTCATGTAATTTATACGCTGTTATTTCTTTCTTTCGATCTTCTTCTTCGATAAGGTATTTCTTGTTTACCTTTTCGAGTCTAAAAGTATTGAGGGCTGCTTACTTTTTAAGGTCATTATTTCAATTTGTCGATAGTTTCAAGATGGATTTTGTTATCGTACTGGCAAGTTTCAAGGGACTGAGTCAACTCATCTTTCTCTCTTTCAAGTTTTATAAGATGGTTATTGATCTTTTTGTTCTAATATATGAGATAATAAGACTTACACTCTCAACCTTGGTAAGTTTCTGTCTTGCAGGGCTCAGTAAGTTATTCCTCTTCTGGGAGTATGCCTAGGGTTTAGGATTGGCCTACCTTTTTATTCTTCCTCCTGCATTTGCTATCATCCTTACCTTCTTGGTCTTCATCCTTTGGTTTATAGTTGCGTTCTGCTTTATTGAGTTTCGCTTTGAGATCTATGCTAAGCTAGTGAGGACTTACCATTGACCATATTTGAGAGATTATGAATCTTGATATCTAAAGCTTACTGAAGAGAGATTACCTTTCAGCTTTAGCTTATTCAGGAATTCCTTCTCGTATAGTCTTCCTTCCCTAAATATGAGAGATAGCTCTACTTTTGGATCTTCTGAAGCTTGGAAAGTTTCAGTTCAAGTACTGAGATCTTCTTTCGTTCAGTTTCATTCCTGAAGTTTAATCAGGAATCTTGCATTGAAGAGTTTCTCTTCATGCTCGACATTATAGTGTCCTGAATCTCTTTCTCTGCAGGAGGTTTTAATTCCTTGATTTTGGAAATTTGGCTTATAATAAATGTAATCAAGCATGATTTGAACTGCTCTAAGTGATTCTGGAACCCAGCTTGGGCACTATAGGTGAGGAATAGCTCCTACCTGTATCGAGAAGACATGATCGACTTGACCACTAAATTGGTGAAAGAACTTTTCTTACAAGTTTCATATTTTCTAGATGTGTTTAAAAATTAATTCTTACCCGATCAAAGCTTGAGCTTCGGTTGGGAAACTCTTTATCTGCTGGTACTGGGGCTCCTGGTTTATATCTATTTAGCTGTAAGAAATCTTGTTGATATCGTAAGGATTGCACAACTGGGTGAATTTTTCCCAAGTGGGCTACCAGATCTTACCTGTGCAAAAGTTCTGATAGTTGGTTGTTCTAGCTGTGTGAGATACTCGATGCATAAAATTTGGATTAATAGACTTATTTAGTATGCAACGGATCCACCTTTATCTGAAAATCAAGGTTATTTAGGCACCTTGATTTGTCTCAGATAGTTAACGTCAAAATTAATAGTAGAAGCGGTTATCCTTTTCCTCTGTTTTGAATTAAGAATACTGCTATACATCTGAGGTTGAAGCAAAGACATGCTTCCAAGAGTATTTATCGAAGTCTCAGGGCGAGGAGACGCAATAGATTTCAAACTTTCACCAGAAAATTCTAAATCTAGTGGTTCTATCTTAGGTTGAGAATTAGCTCTTGTGTGAAATCCAATCGGAGTTGTTCCTATTTAAGTGTTTCTCAAGGAAATACCTTCTAAAGCAAGCTCTTTGTTCTCTTCCCTCATATTTCTATAACTACTAAGGTTTCTTGTAATTTCTCTCTATATCGGCTGAGAGAATTATATTTTACTTGAGCACTGCTGTAATATCTTTCAAAGCCTAAGCTGCTTGCGTCTTTATTTTGAGCCATATTTATATCAATTTTACAACATATTTTAGGGGTTTTGGGGTTTTGGGGTTTTGGGG